TAACCCATAGACAGGCTAAATGTATGGCCACATAGTATACAATTATATTATAAACCAGAGTCGGACCCCCATTCAAAGTCTGCTACTATAATGTTATATAGAAATTGTGAATAATAATCTCATAATACTATCTGATCTACTGGTTTGCAAAAATGAAAAATAGTTCACAACTATTTTATGTGATTATACCGATTACAATAATGAACAATAGATTGTAATCAAATGTTTTGTAACATATGAAAAAATAATTTAAGCCTTAATTAAATAAAACAATTTTTCAATTCATAGGTCAGTAAGACTTGTACTTAACGTTTAAATTATAGGAAAGAGTTTTTAAAGAATTTGTTGCATTTGAATGCATAATAACATACAGTAAATGATTTATTTTACTAAATTCTTACCTTTGGATAAGTTGTAAAATTTATGAAACACTGAATATGAGTTTCAATTTCCGCAAAAAAGTTCTCATAAAATCCATTAAAACATAATACAAAACTCACAAATAAGTGAATACAACCGAAATTTAGACAAACACAAAGTTGGTAAAAATATGTTTAATCAATGATTGTGTTCAACCACTTGAAGATAACTGATTTCAAAAGTTTTATTGCATTCAACCAAAAGTGTTGTCTGGAGTTGTATTGATAGCAAACAAAACTTATAAATCACCGCAAAGTTTATGAAGCATTCTGGCGTTAATTTCCAAAACAAAAACACAGAGATATGAGAAACACTGTTATCTCAGGTAACGTCACAAATGATCCTTTAATGTAAATATCACAAAATGAGTTAAATTTGAGTCATTAATAGAGAAATATATGAAAGCAAACAGCAATTGAATTGACTTGAGGAATGAGTTGATTCACTTCACTGTTAGAGTATAGACTCTATACTATACTATAGAGTGAGTGAGAATAGTATTGCATCTAAGCGTGCAATCATTCATTATCTATGCAGTCATTGCATACACTATTCAACGCTTGTATTCCAGTACAGCGATAATACCGAGACATTAGATGCAAAACTATTGTGGACTACCAGTCCTGAACAGGTCTTACACTCAAATGATGGACAACAGCAACACTCCTGTAGAGATATACGAGCGATGACTGTATTCATTAAAGTAACCGGTTTTGCAGTTTACACGCCGTCACCGGTCGTCTCACTTACCGGTGCAACAAAAAAGTTGTTATTTTCACATATCGTTCATTCCTTACAAACTTTTCTCAGAATTGTTCATAAAATGAAACTCAATCATAAATTATGATTTCTACACAATTCACATATAAGTATAATCGACGGCTGCCTTGAAATAAATGTTTTATTCAATATATTTATTTCGTTATGTGATGTTTTGTAAAAACATTTAAAACTCATGTATTGATGTGTATTTAAATATCACAAATTACTGACTGCTCTAAACCAACAAACCACTAAATATTATATATAAAAAGCAATTGCTTTGAATACTTATGTTTATGAATGAATCAATCCTTACTTAATATAGAATTTGCTTCCGTTTAGAACCCATTAATAAGAACTTTATAAACATTTTTGCATTTTTGATAAACTAATGATTCACTTGAAAAGCACGCATTCATTCATTGGTTAAAATTTTGTTTATAAAGTGATGAAAATGTAGATTAAAATGTTTTAATAATAACAATATTCCCATTATTATCATCATAGATAATATTAAACAGCTTCATAAAATACTAGACATTACTTTGAATGAAATTTGATGATAATTTTGTTTATATTATTTTCATTCATTCATTTTTTTGAATATTTTTTACTGTAATTTATGAAAAACATGAAAAAGTTGATATAATGATTTTCTTCATAAAAGTATGATTTAGTTTCGTATTTATTATTGTATAATATTTGGAAAGTTTTCAAATCAAGAAAATGTGATTTCCAAACTTAAATAATATAAAATTTGCAATAAATGTGTTTTCTTTGTTATGAATACTGAATATTTTCTATAAAATATTTTTATTTTCTCAAAAATATTTTCCTTGTTCTCAATTTTATTTCATCAAAATTTGTAATAAATTATAATTATACTATAGTATTATTATAGGTTTTATATTCATTATAAGTGATTTCTTTTTTATTTCACTGGCTATACAATAGTTTCAATTATTCTATATATTTCAACAATTTTTTCAATTCTTTGTCTTCAAAGAGCTTTTAAAGAGTTATTGAGATTAATAATCGCAAAAAATATCAAAACTATTGACAGTCGATATTTTTAAGAATAAGTTTACACTGTTTTTAAAAATAGTTGTGACAAATTTTTTACACATTTATTTATTTTTAGAACATTATAAAAAATTATATGAAATAAAGTAATACAGATACTTTATTAAGGTACTCTGTACTTTACTATTTTACTCATATTACTGTTTATATACGTTATTATTTATGAAGAATGTTTTATCTAATTATTAAAAGTTAAATAAAGTTATTAACATATCTGTTAAATTATTGTTAATATAAATTATAAATAAACTTATAAATAATTTATTAATTTAGAATAAATTATCAATGTTTTGATTCACAACAAATATACTGTATTTATGTTCAACGGTACAAAGGATTTATTGGACAACAAATTTGTGCTTTAATTATAATAAAATACTTTATTTACTCCTAAACCAAAATGTTTTCTAGCCGTAAAAATGTCAAGAATTTTGATGTATTTTTGATGCTCACTATAATCTTTTGTTGACTATTGATTAAAAAGCAATGTTGTAATGTCAAAAGCAATCAGTTTTTGTTGTTTCTATTGACTAGCATTTCATTTAGAGATTATCAGCCATTCCTTATAAGTTATAAAATAAAACATAAAAGTCAACTCACATTGATGATTATTTCAAATTATTTTATTTATAAACAAAATGTCGCAAAAATAAAAATAAATCACAAAACATATTATCAGTTAATAAAATCTGAACAATATTAGTTAAATTAATAAAAATTAATCCAAGTTGAGACAGTTCAGTAATGTTGCTAGTGCTATGTTTATTTAATATGGAAAACCATAATTTATTAAATAAATAGAGAATTTGATGTTTAATATATTTGAATGATTAGAGGAATTGACACAAGAATTAAGTCAACTATTTATTCTGTTTTCTACTCATCTTATAGGAAACAATGAGGTGTCTTAGCCCACCATTTCTTAAACTAAAAGGTCATCCAAAATAACTGTCCATCTGTGGCATATAAACAATATAAACAAGTGTTCACTATTCATACAATTGTGTACTTAAATCTTATATAAACTTGAAAACTTTTGTTTACTGCAACATATGTTTCCTGCAATACTGCAATACGATTCCTTATTACATAAATTTATGACATAAGTTTAGCACGAAGTCAATATAATTTCTTATATCCCCTTAAAATAAGTTTACTGTAAAACATTTCTTTAAATATTTTCAATTGTAAATTAATTTATATAACTATTAGTTATAACATCTAACTCTGATAATAGTATCAGCATATAAATATAACTTAACATGTTTAACTTAAGATTAACTAAGATTAACAAGATTAATTAAATACAGAAGTGTGTTATTATTTATACAAACTCTTGATTTCATTTTCTACGAAATTCTATTATTAATATTATTTATAAGAAAGGAAAATTTTAATAAGGAATATAATACAAACCTATAAATTACATATTATTTTTATGGCATTATATCATCTCTCTCTCTCTCTCTCTCTCTCTCTCTCTCTCTCTCTCTGTATTTCTCTATTTCTTTCTTTCTTTCATTTCTTATAGTGAACCCAATTATTGAAATATGAAATCAGCTTAAGTTTCTTAATAAATAATTATTGAATAGGTTATATAATATAATATATTTATGAAAATTATATAAACTTATTAATTAATAAGTAAATCTTCCTTAAAAAATTGAAAGGTTTTTGAAAAAATTTCTATGAATATTCTTGGTTACATATAATGCATTTATTTTATATTTAAAAGATTATTGTTAATTATAAAATTATTTTCAACTATAATGTTTAATTACAAGATTTGAATTTAAATTAATATTATTTCGCATTTTTGTAAGTATTGTTTTGTGGTGCAGAAAATTTATTCCTATAGTAATACAATCATTAAATACTGAAATAGAAACACAATTATTTATTATTGAGTACAACTCGTGGGCGGCTTTTCCATACTTTTATTCAATTTTGTTTACATCTCTTTACATTAAATTACAAAATACTTACAGTTTTGCTATTTAATGATAATAATTATGATTGTAATCATTTTTATTTTTTAATAAATATTAAAATACACAAAAGGGTAATTATTTTGGATAATTACAACGATTGGATAAAACAAACAACTTTTGGTAGGCTATGTCTAATTAATTACAATATTTTTATGAACACAAGAATTAATGCTAAACCGAAAAGTTGAAAATTAATGAATTAATTTTGCTTTCATTTAAGGGATTCTAATTAAAATTTGTATATAGAAATTATTATTATAAATATTTGTCAATGTTGTATCCCTACTATTAAACACTATATTTAGTTTGTTACGAGTTCTAAATAAATTTTAATTAAAAGCTGTAATTACGGCCAAACATGAAGAAATGGGTAAGAAATTGAGGATTTTGTACAAAAGACTCATTTATAAAATATTTTACAATAAAACAAATGAATTATATTCATAAATGGTTGGAAAGTTTGTTTGAATATACAATTGTTTAAATTAAGGAAATAAATAATTGATAGGTGTTGTGGCAAACTTGTTGTCCTTTGTTCAGGTGATGTCTTCAATTCCTATCCCCATCTTTAATTGACAAATATATTTGAAATCATTTCACTCTTAAATAATATTACCTCTGAAGTAATCCAATTCTTTTACACCGACAGTTTGTACCTGGTAACACACATTGATATCTTTATTATAGCGAATTTGAAATTTGTTTTCAAATTGAAAACTAAAAGGCAATGCATTACCCCATAGATTACATCGACATAAAGCACTGGAACAGCAGTCTTCTGGTCTGTGATCGCAAGACATCCCTCTTTTCAAACATCTCTTTGAAAATCTCGATCGCCTGACAATTAGACTTATAATCGTATAATAAATTTGAGAAAATTTATAAATATGGCGTTATGTGCAGGATATTGTCTTTATATCTTATTTATGTTTATATGAAATATAACTTTTATTTTAAAATTATAAGTCTAAGGTTAAGCAGAATCTAAGTGTGGACTTAGACTGGCTTCATGGCAATACCAATGCCGTGGGGCCGGTAGGGTCTGCATTAAACCTAATAAGGAAGATTTGAGTCTCACTTCTATCTCTTAGAGTTAATATTACTGAAACTAAAGTCAAATACATAACATCCAGAGACAAACATCCTATTCTGTGTTTTTAGTAGAAATCATCGAAACTAAAGTCACTGTTTTCATGTTTATTGTGATCGATAATTATTACAAACAGTGGAGAGTATGCAATACAGTGTTATATAAATATTGACCACAAACACAATCACCAATAATCCGCATATTTACAGTGCATTTAATGAAATTGGAGTCAATATCTCTATAATTGAAATGGAGTAATATACTAAGTATTCCTCCAGAGTTTTAGTGCATTGGATTTAATACAATTTTAATATAATTTATTTAAACAAAATTTTTAACAAATAAATATTATTTTTACTGTAGATAAACATTTTGAAATATGAAATTCTACATAAAATTATATATTTATGAATAATTGGAAATTTAAATTTAGAGAATTCTTAGTTTTCCAAAAGAAAACTCGTATATTTCTATAAATGATTACTCTATACATATATATAAATGCTACTGGTACTGTTATTTTTAATTTTATGCAATTAATAAATCTTAAATTCACTTACTTTGGATTATTATTATAATAGTTATAGTTGCGAACAAAATTATCCGTGTAATCGTTTAAAATATCAGTGGCGATATCGTTATCTAGAATTTATTAACGTTTTATTTAAAATAATTAATTTATAATATCGATATATTATACTTTCATTTTTTATCATAACCTTATTTAACAGATAACTTATATTATATGTGAAACCAAAATATTTTCTAAAGTTTAAATGCTTTAAATAAGGTTTAGGTATTTTAAGTAAATAAAAAAATCTAATAATATTTTTATTTATGAAACAAAAGTAGAGTGTTTTCCAAAAATACTACATATTTGTAAATATTATTATAAATTATATAAGAGCTGATTATAAATGAAAAAATTAAGTCCTAAATAATTAATTTCCGAAAGAATTAAGACTACTTTGACGGCATTTGAATTTAATAATAACCATTTGATTGCTTACCACTTGTACTGTAATATCTGATGGCATAGCCTTTGAGTGCCATTAATACGAACACCAATGCAATCACAAGTGGTGTAGAAATACTTGACTTCTTAGAAGTCGACGATAATAGCGATAAAACTTTTGAGCCAAACGTAAACAAAATCATGTCTTAAATACTTCTGGAAGACTCACTCATTTGCCTCTTATGTTAATCTTCACTATAAATAATCAAAAAACTTTACAATTGTTTTGTCAAACTTACTGTATTACACACTATAATGTTATAAGTGTATTGTTTTCAAAATTATAAATACACAATGTAATACTATAATTATACATTATTTACATTTAAAACTTATCTATATATTTTATGAATATTATCAAAATAGAACATGTTTAAATAGTATAATAGCATAATATAGAATGACATTAATTATCTTATTTTAAATAAATATAATGCTCTAGAATTAAATTATATTTTTTTATTCTTACCTTGTTTTGTCATATAAGTCAAATATGTAAATACATTTTATAAGTATTTGTTTAATTTGATAATAGCATGGGTGGCGAACTCAATAAATTATTTTAATGTCAAATCTACAGTATTTATTTGAAATTTAATTATTTCCACAAAGTTTTTATGCTTTAACAATTATAAAATAGGTATTATATTATATAAAATATCTCTGTTAGAATATATCTTACTATGATCCTGTAATTTAATTTAAATGAAAACATTTTACGCCTTAACGCCTGAATATAATAAAATAATATTAATCATTTGAATTTATTATATCGTAATTGAAATTTTAAAAAATAACATTTTAATTAAGATACATCTATCGTATTTGTGTTTATTTTATAAGTTATAAAGATTTAAAATGTTCAAAATATTTGATGTTTCAGTTTATAGTCGAAAGATCTTATATTTGCAAGTAATATATTGAATCCCCTCAAAGTGATAATTTATAACTAATTTAAGGGAAGCTTTTAGTTTCATAATATAATACTTTTATTAACACTTCAGATGATTTAATGACATAAAAGTTCTGTCAAAAGTTTTCCATTTAAACATCGGTTAATATAATAAATTGATTTGAATTGACTTATAGTCTTATAGTATAAGTAAGTTCTTATCAAATAATAAATTATATGATGTCTTCACTCAATATGTTATAAATAGAAGTTTACAATGAGTAAACTTACGGTTTGCTTTTTATTTCATATTAATTTTGTTTATATCTTATAATCGTTATTTACTGGTTTATTACTGGTATATACGAATCACTAATTTTATTATTTTCACTGTTATAAGCATTAATTAAAACATAATAAGTAAAGAATAGGGAATATATTTTTGTTTGTCAATAAACTCATTTTGGTTTTGTTTGGAAATCTTTTAAATGAAAAATTGTGTTTCAATTCAAATATTTTCTTCTTTTGTGAATTAATTTAATAAAAACGACATAAGAATTAGTGTATAACATATATAATTAATACGGTTTCGTATAAAATTCATCATAAAGTGTGTGAACTCTGCAAATGTTCACAAAACAAATGACTTTTATAAATGTCACTATTTTTTGAATAATAAAGCAAGTTAATGAGTGACACAATTCATTATATAATTATTTTTATATTTTATTTTATACATTTTTGAATCTTGTAATTCTTAGTGATTCAGTACATTTTAATAATTAATATAAATCTACAAAAATTCGATCGCAAGATATGTACAATAGTAAAAATAGTTATTATACCAAATACAAAAGTATAATTGTATAACTGAAAGCCATGAAAGTTATTATGATAACAATTCACTTTAAGCATTAAAGATTAGGGTTTGTGTGAAATTTGTAAACCAAAAATAGAGACTTATTTAATATGAATTCCACATAAAAGACTTATTTGACCTTTTATTAGTGAATGTATTGAAAGCAACACATAATTATCAATGAATGACTTTTCTGATAATAGCTATTCTCTGCAACAAATGCTCAAAATATAATTGTTCAACAATTTACTCTAACGTACTGTACATGTGGAAAATAAACTTTTAAAATTATTTACCGGTATTTTGTTATATAAATTAATCTTTTAAATGTATTTCCTATTAAACTATTAAATTAGCTAAATAGTTCTGTATGCATTTCATTAATATTGATAATATTGATATATCAATTATAATTATAATTATTTATATGTTTATATTAATAATAATATATTGCTATTTGTAAAAAATAATCTCATTTTTAGAATAAATTATCTCATGTTTGATGTTAAATGAACTATAATATGTTACATCATTTAATTTAGTAAGTTATATAAAACTATTGAAGTTTATCACTAAAGCAATATTCAAAAGCTACCGAACCTTAAGATCTCAGATGAAACTAACTTTCAGACGAGTAACCACCACTTATGGTGTAATAACCATTCATGAAGTAAGCTTTGGAATTAAGGGAAATCAGCTTATCGTGATTATTATGGTTATATCATTTTATTGGCCACAATTTCTATGATAATTTTATAGATTCAACAAACATTACAGTAATCCGTAAGTAATAGAAAAGTGAATTTCTATTGTAGAATTATGTTTAGTTTTTATAAGTTGAAAATGATTGTGAAATATTTTGTTTACTACTTTAAATATTTCGCAAATGTCAAATAATATTGGCACAATATCATCTCTATTCGACACAATGTTTTAAAGAATTTTTTAATATAGAGGTCAGTTTTGTCTACTACAAACATTAAACAAGTTTAAAATCCATAAAACCAATTAAATGATAATGATTTATTTTTGTTATTATTTACAGTAATTTATTAAAATTATATATAATCTAACTCTTGTTTCCTTTTTTACTAAAGATATACTAAAAAATGGTTTGTTATTGAATTACAGGAATTTATAAAAGAAGTAAATATTGACAGAATAGTTGACCCAATCATATGAGAAATAAATTCAAAGAATATACTATTGCCTCAAACTATTGTCATTTAAGTCATTAATAGTATTAATATTACAGAACTCAGAGGAAATCATTGTTTGACAACACATTTGACTTATTGACACAATATATCATATTTTTTTGACTTGCGATTAGATAATTTAGAAATGTATTTGTTTTATTTATTAAAATATTAACGATAATTTATCTAAAAATAAATTATAAATAGTATTAATATTTATAACTTTTCATACTGCTACTAAAATTAATTTTAAAAATTTAATGTGTTAAAACACACACTAAATAATTATATTTAATAAGTTATGAGTAACCATTACAATAAAAACAATATTATTAGCTATATTTTTATTTTATAAACGTAAAGCTTTCTATAAAATAAAAATAATCCTTTTTAATTTATGAAAATAAAGTAATATAATCTGTATTTTTTAAAATATTTGTTTTAATTAAAATAAAAATATAATAAAATAATAAATGTGACAAATGTGACAAATAACTTAAACGGGTATGTTATTGACAACACATCTATATAACTTAGTAAGCCGTTTAACTCAATTTAACTCAAGTTTCAATTTTTAATATATATTTTCCTATAAACACTTTTTACTGTCAATTGAGTCAATAGACTATCAGATTCTGTTTTCAACTGATTTGCTATAAAATATTGGTTATACTGATTCAATCATTTTTGAGTTATGACACAAATTCTACTAACAAACTGAAACTTATTCTTTTTAGACATTTTCAATTTAAAATAGCAACTCTAAAATATTCTATATTAAAAATACTTTGCTAATCATACTTTATAATTTGTATATTTAAGATAAATTTAGGTTTATATAGAATATATTACTTACAAAATAGTAATTTGTCAAAGTCTGTACAAATGATTGAGTTGAATGACAGCTTATGTAAACTTATAATAAATCTGAAGTTAATTAAATTAATATAAAATATAGTTGTGTATGTTTTTAATCAATTAAGAAACGAAAATATAAACCACCAAGTTTGGAATGAGCACTTATTTTAAAAATTCAAGTTATAAGTAGTGTTAAGTAGAATATAGTGAACAAAAAAACTTGCGAATTGTTATCCAGAAGTAATAATTATTGAATACATTAGTCGCTTGACTGCCGGCGCCCAATGTGTGGCAGAGAAGTAAGAATTGGAGAAATGAATTCTCAGCGCATTTGTGTTCAACGCATGACAACATAGACTGCACTCACGGAATAGAGTACAGAATATACTGAAGAATTGAATTTAACATTCAGTTGAATATATTCTTGATTTGTGGCACCAAATACTCAATACTTCATTAGC